TATATATATATATATATATATATATATATATTTAATGAAGAATAAATATAATTTTGAATTTCATAAAACGATTAAAAACCTATTGCACACAATCATTACTTGATATTTTGTTCGACTCTTTTGAATCTTTATTGAACTGAATCGGATAATTTCGTAAATCTACGGAAAAGGCCGAAGGCTCCGATGCATGCTGGGAAATAGCCACTTTGCTAATCCGCCATCTTTCATTAAAACGAGTTTTTAGGGCAAAATAAGAAACAGTTTTAAATGTGTTTTTCAACTAAAAAGACCAGTTTCAGCAGGTTCGTTTGATCGGTTCTTGTAAGAAGCGCGTTTAGAGACGGAAGGTTCGGGTGAAGTCCTTCTTATTGTGCACATATCGGCTGAAGAACACAGGGGTTTACCCCGGAGCTGCTCGTCATGGGCCGCTCACGGAGCCGAAGCTCGTCCCGGTCCAAACACACGAAAAGCGGCAAGCACAGCAAGAAACGGACCCGGTCTATGTCTCGAGACAGGGAGAGGTCCAAGAAACGGTCTAAATCCCGGGAGTCTAAAAGGAATCGGCGTAGAGAATCTCGATCCCGTTCCCGATCAAACACAGCCTCGTCCCGCAGAGAGCGAGCAGCGTCACCGCCGGAGCGCATCGACATGTTCGGCCGGACGCTGAGCAAGAGAACCGCGCTGGACGAGAAGCAGCGGAAGGAGGAGGAGGAGAGAAGGGCAGAGATGGAGAGGCAGAGGAAAATGTGGGTAAAAAGTAAAAAAAAATGAACTGTTGTTACATAACTGTACTTGTGCTGCAATGAAGGCTAAGCTAACAGCTAGGCCTGCCGCGTTCATTTAAACGGGCCGATGCTAACAAGCTAAATGCTAACTGTCCTGTCTCAGTTCAATAGGCTGATGCTAATGAGCTTAATGCTAACTGTACTGTCTCAGTTCAACGGGCTGATGCTAATGAGCTAAATGCTAACTGGCCTGTCTCTCAGTTCAACGGGCTGATGCTAATGAGCTAAATGCTAACTGTCCTGTCTCTCAATTCAACGGGCTGATGCTAATGAGCTAAATGCTAACTGTACTGTCACAGTTCAACGGGCTAAACGCTAACAGACTATAATTTAGGCTGAACAGGACTTGGGACTGTACAAAGGACTTGTAAACATTTTAATAAACACAAAGTAACTCTTTGAAGTTTTAGCTTGTTGACGTATTACTGTTCTTTTTACTCCGAAGGTTGTTTACATCTTCATCTCAATTCAATTTATTTATAAAGCGCCAAGTCACAACAGAAGTCGTCTCAGGGCACTGAATAGAAACGTATATAAAAAATAAGTTAACACTATTTATATGAGGAGCAGACTGCTTTGAATTTAACTCCATCACAAAACTCTCATCTTAAGCAAGCATGAAGGCGACAGTGGAAAGGAAAAACTCCCTCACAAGGAAGAAACCTTTAGCAGAATCAGGCTCAGGACAAGCGGCCATCTGCTTCTACTAGCTGGGTTTGAGAGGAGCAGATAAACAATGGCAGGTCAAGAATCATGTGTTAAGATAGAGATAGTATCTGATAAACTATTCAGTTTTAACAATTCATTTAAGGAAATGAAGTCTCCAGACCAAAACAACCAGAAAAATGTAAATTAGATATTGTTTTATGAGATATGTTGCCTTAATTAAAAAAGAAGAAGAAGGAAACTAAAAAAATCAAGTGACACCCTCGTAATCTGTTCCATGTGCTACCTTGTATTTTTTTTATTAGAAACCACCTGTTACATCCTTAGTATTTGATAAAACGTATATAAAAATAACAATTGCTCATCAAAGCCTGAAATTTGATAGTATATTGTGTAGAAGGTGGTTGCATCACTGCCTTGTTAACCAAATAACATCAATGTTTGTTTATTTGTCATATGCAGGTCAACACAAGGTCAACAATGAAATGTTCAGGATGAGAAGAACCAGTTGACACAGTCACAGCTGTTTCTTAGGTTTAGAGAAGAAATGGAGATCTCTCAACAGGCTGATTTAGTTTATTTTTGTTAGAATTAAAGGTTGATCAGAAACCTGGCCTGTGGTTAAAGATGGCTGAAGGTTTGAACTGTCCTTCTGAGCCAACAGGAAATAAAATGTTCGTCCATTCAACATGAGTTTTATCTGCACGCCTCACATTTCTCAGGTACAGAATGGTAATCCATACACGAGATGCTTCATCAGCAATAATTTAAAAATATTATTTTTTTGTCTTATAACCAAACAGCTCTGTGGGTGATGTTAAAAAGCCCCCTCTTGACTAAAACAAAAACCTATTAGAGTTTAGTGCAATGTGCAGATTGGGACTGCTTTGCTTTCAGCTGCTCCCCTCTGCAGGGGCTGCCACAGTGAGTGAAGTCACATGAAAGATTTGGCAGTTGTTAAACGCTGGATGACCTTCCTGATGCAACCTGGGCTCGAGCCCACAGCCTCAGGATCACAAGGCCGCAGCACTGACCGCCAAACCAAAGGGGGCCGTGGTAGAAAAATAACCGTTTCATCTGATGCTCTTCGGTGCTCGCCACAGTCTGCGTGTTATCGTGTCGGGGTGTGTGTTGGCCGGAGGCACAAACACCTGGTCCACACCTGGACTCCTGAATGGCTCGTTCCTCCAGGAGCGCAGTTGTAAACATGAAGATAAAGACGTGGGAACTCGGGAGCCACGTGACGACACCTCCCACCTCTGAAGGTCCAAGAGACCACTGGTGTCCTTTATTATCTATGTTCTGATTCATAATGACCCGCAGGTTGGTCAGCTGACCAGGACTGGGTCAGATAGCAGTACTGGGACTGGACCAGGACTGGGTCAGATAGCAGTACTGGGACTGGACCAGGACTGGCTCAGATACCGGGAGTTTCTAGACTTGAACTGTATTTATCGTTACTGTAAAATGACATCATCAGTAACTTTTGTCGAACTCTCTCTGCAGCCGGCAGCAGGAGATCGAGGAGAAGCTGATCGAGGAGGAGACTGCACGGCGGGTGGAGGAGCTGGTGGCCAAGCGGGTGGAGGAGGAGCTGGAGAAGCGTAAAGACGAGATCGAGCGGGAGGTGCTGCGGCGCGTGGAGGAGGCCAAACGCATCATGGAGCGTCAGCTGCTGGAGGAGCTGGAGAGGCAGCGGCAGGCCGAGCTGGCAGCGCAGAAAGCCAGAGAGGTAACGCTCGGTCGTTTGGAACGCAGCCCCCTCCTCCCCCCAACCCCCCTCCTGCTCTGACTGGACCAGTAGAGGGATCTGTCAGAAACTTTATTTATGGAGTCCTATATGGGTCAACTGTAGAACATCTGGGGGGAGAGGCTGAAGGGACCTTCACCTCCTCAGCTGGGTCTCCTCCCACAGAGGAGATTAAATGTTGTCTTTACAGCAACAGATGCTGTGGTGTGAAATAAAACGTCTCTGAGAAGATAAAAGTCTGTAAACAGATGTTTTCACCGTTTAACAAAACCACCGGATCCGGTGACCTCTGACCCCGCTCCTCCTCAGACAGGAAGCTGTACTTTCATGACTGCGTTGACTAAAGTCTCATGTTTTCTGTCTGATTTAAACGTCTTACGGCCGTCTTTAGATCAAGTTTTAACACCGACTCAGTTTAAAGGGATATTCCCAGTTTTTATCTTCTGTTGCTCTAAAGGAAATAAAGTGGACACCATCAGACCTCTGTGCCCCCTCCCCTCATTGATTCCTATATACAGTAATATTTAGTCATAAATGAGACTGGCCCGCCATCAGGAGAAGTGTCCCTCCTTCCTGTTCTGTCTCCTGTCTCTGACGTCGCCTCCTCCTCGGGTCCATCTGTCTCTGAAGCTGTGGCCTCGGCTCCATGTGTGGAAATGTTCATGACGTTTGTTTGATCCACAGACGGGTCGACCCGGCAGCTTGTGTGTGTAAACTGACCTGCTTGTTTAACAGGGTCTTCGTCAGCAGCGCCGCGCGAGGCTGATGAAGAGTTTGTCCCTGTGATGTTTCTCATGATGACTTGTTCTCCCTCAGGGCTGCCGCTCAGGGTCACTCTTTATGTCTGTTTGTTGCTCCTCCTCCTAACTAGCTCTTGACCCGAGCCGGCCTGCAGCCGCGTGTCCTGTACTGTAAGTGTGCCGTGGTCGGGACCTCCCGAAACACACACACACACACACACACACACACACACACACACACACATATACACATAGTGGTGTAATGCCACTGAACCTCTGCAAAGATGAGAATTAAAAAGTAAACGCCAAACTCAGACAGCTCGCACTCGTAAAGAGGAGTCCCCCTCCCTCCCCCCATGGAGCGCCTCTCTGTCTCTGCAGGGGCCACAGTCCGGACCGGACAGTAAATATTCATCCGTTTAATGCTGAATGCTTTCAGCAGGTGTGTAGGTACACAGTGAAGGAAAGTCCGTAGGTATTCGTGCATCGGTGAGCCAAAACTCTTCCCTCCTTCTTCTTCTTCTCTCTGAATGGTGTTAAAGGAGAACTGTTGTCCTGTTTGAATGGAGTTGCAACAGAACTGTTGTCTTGTAGTCTGTCATGTCTTCACCTCTGAGTGGATGAGTGTGTTCAGAACAAATGTTGACCAGATCAGAAGCAGAGTTTGAGATCAGCTGCACAGTTTGTAGGAAAGAGTTCAGGCTGACTGCTGGGAGCGATGTGGGTGGAGTGAGCTCTGAGAGTGTGCGTGTTTCTCTGTGTGTGTGTTTGCGTGTGTTTCTCTGTGTGAGAGTGAGTGAGAGTGTGTTCTATGGCTGTAACTTGTTCATAACATGTCACCATGTCACCCATCCAGGAAGAAGAGAAATCAAAGCGAGAGGAGCTGGAAAAAATCCTGGAGGAGAATAACCGCAAGATCGCCGATGCTCAAGCCAAGCTGGTACGACCCGACCCGTTTCAGCTCTTAGTTCTCGGCTTTCTGTTCAGTCCAGGAACTGAAACTTTGTCCCTCTGGGATGTTCAGAGTTAAGGAATTAGTTAAATGGAAGTAACACTAGAATAAATTACCAATAATGTGACAATGTCATGTTTTGTATCATGGTAAGAGCTGCAAGGTGTTTTTAAAGAAGCAGAGGTGAGGGTGATGCATTTAAAGAAGCTGGGAAGAGTCAAGTCTCTTAAATTAAACTCACTAACATCCATCATCTTTACCCGTTTCATTTTTGGGTCGTGGGGGTTCACTGGTGCTCATATCCAGCAATCACTGAGCGAGAGGGGGGAGACACCTGGACAGGTCTCCAGTCCATCACAGGGACACATCGAGACAACCATTCACTCTCTCACTCTCACCTAGGGACAATTTAGAGTTACCAATTAACAAAGTCCATGGCCAATAATCCAGGTTTACAATCCAACAATTTTCAGTCAGGTCATCCTGACAGTTTCTTTTTTTGTGCTGAAACGTTTCACCTTCCATCCAGAAGGCTTCATCAGTCAAGGAAACACACAACACAAAACTGATTCTTCCCCCAACAGCTTACTCCAAAGTGGAACAAACCAGTTATGTTGGTGCTAAGATGGCCTCTTTGGCACGACCCCTCCTCTGGTGCTGGTGCTGGCCCTCTCCCTCGTCGACAGTCAAGTCAAACTGGTTCAAAACCAACAAAGTTAGTAATTAATCTAGCATTGTGGGAGGAAACTGGAGAAAACCCACGCACCACTGAGAGAACGTGCAAACTCAGCTAACCTCTCGTTGTTAAAGGGATCTCTGACTACTTGTACATATTGGCCTTAATGTTATATATTCATATATGGATGACACTACCTGCAAAGCTAATATACAGGATGTTAGCTCTGGAGCTATCATCATATGTTTTAGCTCCTGAGCTAGCATCATATATTTTAGCTCCTGAGCTAGCA